CATGCTTTGAGCATCAATCTTAACTGAAAGCCAGAAACAAATTATGTTTTAGTAACTCATGCCCTGGAAATTTCTTTTACTCTGCTTCAAGGATGCAAAGGCTTGCTCAAGTGTCTTTGAATGTGCTGTGGTGCACAATGCCTGCATACCTTGAAAACGCCATCAATAAACAGAGCTGGGAAGTACCACACACTTGTATGCTGGCTGATGTGATTAAACAAAATACAGTCCTAGGCACGGGTTGGACATGCCTCGCTCCCACATACTCACTATGATCAACATTCTAAATTGTCTTTTAATGTAACTAAATCTATTTACTAAATATATTAATATTGTGTATTCAAATATCTCTGTTATCTGCTACTTCTGTAGGAGGCTGTTGTCATTAGCAAAAAACAGTGCCAACATTTATAATGCCTTTTGTCTTTAGGAATCATTTTTACAAAGAAATAAGTAATTGTTTCTATTAAAAAAAATAAAAGCACCGTATTCTAATGCTACATCATCAGATATGAGCATGCAGTCCAAGAATTATAAGAGTCTTAGCTATACATGGGATGTTCCCCAAAACAGACCACGTACTAGCACACAGAGTATGCTTAAGTAAAATGCAAAAGAACTGAAATTATTCCACGTATATTTATCTGATCATAGTACAATGAAACTGGAAATTATTGACAAAAGAAACAGCAAAAAAATCCATAAACATATGGAAATTAAATAACACCCTCTGAACAATCAATGGGTCACAGACGAAATTAAAGAAGAAATTAAACAATATTCTCAATCAAACAAAAATACAGACAAAACTTCCTGGATATTGTGGGATACAATAAAAGCTGCCGTAAGAGGGAAATTTATAGTGGTAAATACTCACATTAGAAAAACAGAGGGCCCAGGGAGATAGCTCAGTAGAATAAGTGCTTGCCTGGCAAGTGCAGGGTCCAATCCCTGGTACCGCAAAAAAAAAAAAGGAAAAAGTAAAACAGAATGAGCCAAAATAAACAATCTTATACTGTACCTCAAGCTCCTAGACAAAAAGAGCAAGTGAAGCCCAAAGCCCTAAGAAGGCAGGAAATTACAGAAATAAATGCTATGGAAACAAAGAAAACAATACAAAGAATGAATTGAAGAGTTAATTCTTTGAAAGAATAAATAAAATTGACAAACCCCTAGCCAGTCTTATCAAAAAAGAAAAAAACTGACCATAGAATTAGGAATGAAAAGGGTCACTACAGAACTATAACACTTCAGGAACCTATTTCCAAAATCTTTACTCTCATAAGACAGAAAACACTGAAGAAATGGAGAGATTCCTACATGTATATAAACTACCAAAACTGAATCAAGAAGATATAAAAATTCTCAATAACCCAGTATTAGTGAATGAAATTGAAAATGTAATCAAAAACCTACCAATAAAGAAAAGCCCAGGTCCTGATGGACTCACAGTGAATTCTGCAAGAAATTTAGGGATGATTTAATGCCACCTCTTCTCAAATTCTTCAGTGAAAATAAAACAGAAGCAATTCTCCTGAATTCAATCCTAGAAGTAACTATTATTCTGACACCAAAACCAAAGAAAGATCAGCCAAAAAGGAAAACTATAAGCCAGTCTCCCTAATGAACACAGATGCAAAAATCCTCAATAAAATACTAGCAAACACAATGCAGCAAATCATCAAGGAGACTGTACACTATGACCAAGTAGGATTCATCCCAGGAATGCAGGGATGGTTCAATATATGCAAATCAACAAATGTAACACAGTATGTCAACAGAGCCAAAGAACCACATAACCATCTCAATAGATGCAGAAAAGCTTTTGAAAAAGTCCAGTACTCATCTGTGATTTAAAAACCCATAGAAAATCAGAGCAGATGGTCTTTACCTTAACCTGATAAAAGCTATCTCTGACAAACCAACAGCCAACATTATACTAAATGGATAAAAAGTGAAAGCCTTCATTCTAATGTCAGGAGCAAGACAAAGATGCCTACTGTCACCACTCCTGTTCAATATAGTTCTGGAGACATTAGCCAGAGCAATTAGACAGCAGAGAGACAAATAAAAAGAAACAATGACTGGAAAGGAAGGTGAAATTATTTTCAGATGGCAATGATACTCTACATAAAAGATCCCAAAATCTCCACCAAAAGACCTATAGACTTAATTATCAAATTCAGTAGCATAATAGAGGGACGGGGAGATGGCTCAGTAGAATAAGCGCTTCCCTGGCAAGCGCAAGGGCCTGAGTTCAATCCCCACTTCTGACAAAAACATAAAAATTAAAAAAAAAAATTTTTTTAAAGTAGCATAGCAGGATATAAAGTCAACACTCAAAAAGTTAATAGCATTTCTATACACAATGAAAGCACCAAGAAAGAAATTAGGGAAACTACAACTTTCACAATAACACCCCCTAACATAAAATATTTAGGAATCAAATCTCACAAAGGAAGTAAAAGATTTCTACAGTGAAAATTATAGTACTCTAAAAAAAGAGAGAGATCAAAGAGGATATTAGACAATGGAAATATATCCCTTGCTCATGGACAGAAAGAACCAATACTGTGATCATGGCCATACTCACAAACTGTATTACAGAGTCAATGCAATCCCAATTAAAACACCATTAATACACCTTGCAGATCTAGAAAAAACATTCTTAAAATTAAGCTGGAACCAGAAGAGACCTAGAATAGCAAAAGCAATCCTGAGCAACAAAAGAATGGCAGGAGGCATCACAATCCCTGATTTGAAATTATACTACAGATGCACTATGATAAAAATCAGCATGCAAAAAAAACAGACCAGAGGATCAATGGAGCAGATTAGAAGATGTAGATATAACTGCAAACACTCTCAGCCACCTTATCTTTGACAAAGGGGCCAAACATGTTCACTGGAAAAAAGTCAGAGACTCTTTAATAAATAGTAGTGGAAAAAACTACTTTCTACATGACAAAAGCTAAAATTATAGACTCATGACTATCACCATGCACAAAACTACAATCAAAATGCACCAAGGATTTAAGTATTAAAACTAAAACACTAAGTCTTCTGGAGAAGCAAGTAGGTAGAAATCTTAAAAGACATAGGGTAGGCAGAGAGTTCATCAACAAAAATCAAACACAAAAAAAACTTCAAAGAATCAACAACTGGGATTTCATCTTTTGTTTAAGTTTCTGCATGTCAAAAGAAATCACCATCAGAGTAAAAAGAAAACCCATGAACTGGGAAAAAAATTATAGACTCAGGCAAAGGACTTTAATCTACAGCATATAAAAAATGAAAAAAAAGTCACATCTTCAAAATTCAAAAACTCAATCCAAAAATGGGCATCTGAGATGAATAGACACTTCACACATGAATACAGATGGCAAGTAAATATACGAAAAAATGTTCAACATCATTGGTCATTCAAGAGATGCAAATTAAAACAACACTGAGATACCATCTGTCTTAGTTACTCTTCTTTTGAAAGAAGAGACAAATACTCAACATTCACAATGAAGGAAGGAAAGATTTATTTACCTCACAGTTACTGGAGGTTGCAGTCCATATTCAGCTGGATCCAAGGAGGAGCAGAGCATGGCAGAGAGCAACCCTTCATGGCAGCGGCAAAGAGCAAGAGTACAAAAGGAATAGCAGCAGCTCCAGAGCTAACTTCTCTTTCCTCCTTACACTGAAATGCAAATTACCTGCCCCAGGGCAGTTGCTGCAGCCACACCCACAGTAATCAATCACAAACTCGAGAAGCCCCCAAGACTGCATGAGGCTTTGGGGGGACAAGCATACACAAACCATAACACTATCTTATGCCAGAAAGAATGGCTATCATCAAGAAGTCAACCAATAACAAATGCTGGAGGCGCTGTGGGGGATAAAGAAACCCTTTTCCACTGTTGGTGGGAGTAGAGACTGGTACAACCACTATGGAAATCAGTGCGAAGATTCCTCAAAAAGCTACGATTGGAGGTCCCTTTCAAGCCAGCTATTCCTCTCCTGGGTGTTTTTCCAAAAGAACTGAAAACGCCATCCCACAACAGGGATATATGTGCATTCGTATTTTATAGCAGCAGTTTGTCATAGCTAAGTCTTAGAAACAACATAAATGCCCATTAACTGAGGAATAGATTAAAAAAAAAAATGTGGTATTTTTAACCAATGGAGTATTACTCAGCTATAAAAAATAAATAAACTTGAAGCTTTTATATGTAAATGGATGCAACTAGAGACTATATTGGTAAGTGAAATAAATCAGACCTACATGTGCAAACACCGTACTGTCTCACTAGTGTGAGAGCTTCAAAGAGCAAATCAAATCTGAACATATAATAGTGTGACAGGGGAAGAATCTGCTCAATGGGAAGCAAAACCTGGGATGAAGAAAAGGACAAAAGAAAGAAATGAAAAAAATATAATCATGTACATATGCTTTTCGGATAATTGTACTATTGATTTCTGCTTATCTATTGAAAGGAGCAGTTAATGCTTAAATTTTTAAATTTTTCTTTTTAATTTCATATATATGTGTGTGTGTGTACACACACACACACACACACACACACACACATTTTGACCAATTTTGCTAGTTTATTTATCTTGTAACCTAAACAACTAATTTAAAGATAACATTATGCAATACAACAACCACTGTCAAATTTCTATTACTTTATTTAATGAAATTTTGTATCATTTCTAATGTTTGCTTTTTGTGTGTGTGTGTGTTTTTTTTAATCATTTTGTATTCTTTAAAAAACAAATACAACAGTCTTAAGAAGCACACAGCCCAGTGACAGGAAGCATGATGTGCTGCTCCTCTAAGAACTGGAAAACACACGGACACCCTCCCACCCCACACATACATATATGTACACATATGTACAGGTTACATAAGCAACAGTGAAGCAAGAAACACACTGGAAAAGGACAATGTTTTGCTTAGAAACACACAAACATGCAAAGTCCAGCTTCCATACAGTGCTTTTTTGTTGTTTTTTGCAGTACTGGGGATCAAACTCGGGACCTCGTGCTTGCCAGGCAGGCGATCATGCCGCTGAGCTTTCTCCAGGCTCTTGCTTAGAAACACAGAACATGATTTGCTTCATTTCACTCAGCTCAAATAAATTCTCAATTGACAATTCTCTCATGCCTAGCACGGCAACAGGAAAGATCATACAGCATAAGCTCCCGCTTGCCCAGAAGTTGCCGAGTGGAAGAGTAAAATGCACAAAAGCCGCATACAAACAGAACTTGTGGTGCCCGCCATTTAATCATAACACACAACCACAAAACGTTACACAGGACTATTTACAGCACAGTAGTGGCTGCTGTGGGACTGGTTATCAGTGCTTCCAAACTTGTCCCTCTACATGTGGGACACTCATGGGAAAATTTAATGAGCTCATAGGAGCGTCTGCTCCTGAATGCAACAGTGCTCCCTGACAAAGAAAGGTCATCCAGTCACCTCCCAGGGTCCTGCTGAGGCGGGGGTCTCTTCACTGGACCCGACAGTTCTCGCTGTTCACAGGCTCAGGCCTGGCATCGGGGCTCGGGGCCAGCTGGCTGGCCCTGGTTCTGGGGCTGTCCCTCGGGCTGCTGGAGGAGCTCCTCCCAGGAAGGTGGCTGACAGAGGCAGGCTTCGTGGTGGGCTCTGCAAACCCCATGGGGTTCTGTTGAGCGACCTTGACCTGCAACACACACACACACACACACCTCGGTCAGAGGCTGAAAGCCCGGCTCACAACATGGAGACCAAGCAGCAGGCCACCAAGTTCAGGACCTGCACACGAGTTTATTATTTCCTTTCCCGAGAGCAGGCCCCCAACCTAACGGAGGACTTCTGAGGACGTGGCACGCAATCTCTAACATGTCACCAGGTTTCTCTGTCACTTCTGATGGCCAGACTGGCTTTGGAAGCAAGGGAGGCATCTTTAGACCAGAAGTTCAACTCTTCGGGACAAAGTCCCTGTTGTGTATACTGCGCTCCCTCTAATGCCTTCAATACTTCGGTTTGACTACACAGGAAATATTCGCAAAATGCCTCACCAAAAGCTGCTTGGTGCTCTAACTGAAGCCTGGCTTTATGCAAACTGAGTAGAAATGAAAACAGTAACACTTAATCAGGCAGAAGCTACATTTACAATATTTAAAAGACTCAGGGCCTGGCCCTCATACTAAAAAGTATCTTAATGGTACTCTTCACATTGTTTGTTTCCAGTTGGAGTCCATCCAGTCTGGGCTACGTAGTAACTTAGCGAGATTGATACAACAGGTAGCTTTTTACTAAGCTCACAGGTTATGTACTGCCTTAGTTCTAGTATCTGCATATAAGCATTGGGTTATTATTTTAATGTTGAATATATACATTATGTTTTACATAGCTTAATACATGTATGGCATTTGTTACATTGGCAATGGGGCAATGCACTAATGCACTAAGTATACATGATACAGGAAGAGGAGTATGGATGAAGTTTATAAAATGGTACTGTATATGGATACAGCACTGGTGAAGGAGTAGTCGAATGGGAATCACAACTCTGGGTGCAGGCGCGGAGCTAGGAGACCCTTGATGTCATAGGGAGATGCGTGCCCCAGCCTGGTTGACACGACCACAGCAGCACTGACGCTATAAACTCATCATTTTAGTAGCTTTTCCTTCCCTGTGCGGAGGTGGCGCGTGTACAGAGCACACCTCGATTCCTTTTGCTTCCCCTCACGCATTTCCCTCTTGCTTGGTCCTCTTCCCTTTTGCAGAAGATCCATCTTCCTATTTCCTATCACTTTTTCTCTTATTTGGCTCTTTACTTACCTTTGGATTTGTGACATAAGAGAATCTGTGTGATATTTAAGCTTCTGTGTCTGACTTACTTCGTGTGCAGCGCTGGCCCCGCCCCCCTGGGTGCACGGAGCCGGCCACCAAGACTGGGCATGGTGACGCAGGCCTGCAATCCCAGCGCTGGGGAGGCTGAAAACTGGAGGGTCACTACGAGTCCAAGCTGCGTAGAGACCCTGTACCAAATACATAAAAAAAAAAAAAAAAATCCTGAAAAACATAAAATTTGTCCTCAACCACAAAAGCGCTGAATATCTAACCTCTTGCTTTAGAAGAATAACACCTTGTAAATGTGTAAAGCTAAATGATGAAATATGCTTAATAGATGAAGCCAGCATTTTGCCGGATAACTCAGAAAATACTGAATTAAACTGCAAATCACTAGGGCAGGTTTTAAAGACTGCGAACGAGCCACGTAGGCTGGGATCCCTGCCCGCAGCTGCACCCCACCGCTCACGGCTAGCGCCAAGCTGCACAGCCTCCTGGCTGAACACCACACAGCTGCACCGACCACAAACCTGCAGGCAGCCATGGTTAGCACGCTGCACCTGCTAGCTCAGCCACGCACGGAGCAGGCCCCTGCTGTGCAAAGCTTTCTCCCAGATGACAAATTTGGACGCCACATGCAAACCACTTCTACCAGCAATCCCTACTGACAAAGAAAAAATGAGCTACGTGGTGATACGATAAAACGATTCCCTAAGATGCCTGTATAAGCACATATGTTCTGTGGTCACCTCAAGACACCAGTCACAGCTACGGAATGTGTCAGCCTTTTCCTCAGACACGAGGACACAGGTGGTCCACAGACATAATCAACTACCTACATGTTCTGCAACTCAGAAGACAGGTATCTGAGCAGGTAACAGGAAAGGGAGCCGCAGGGCACAAGGGACATGGAGCGCACCGGCTCAGTGCCACGGTTTAAGGGAGCTATGGATACTTCCTTCGCTCTCCAGAAGTATCAGGCCAAAAGGAATGGATACCAGTTTTACAGAGGACTGAGGCAGGCTCCCGGCCACCTGTCTAGAGGTGGCCCTGGGTCTACACCAGCAGCCCAAGCCTGACGCGTGCAAAGCCCCTCAGCGGTGTCCTGTGGTGAGGGCTGCGGTCGGGTTCTGCAGCTTCCGCCTGTAAGGCGCCGGCTGCTTCATGAAGACTTTCCTTATGGTCATGGGAAAGTCAGGGCCCATGCCGCTGCATTCTTCAGTACTCTACAGCTGGCAGGAGCCAAAAGCCAGACCCAAAGGGGAAGTAGGTGGAGAGAGACAAAGAATGAATATTTGAGAGAAGCGGAGAAAAATGTACACCAAATGGAACACCCTAACACAAGCAGAGGAGGCCCCATCTCAAAGGCTGAAAGAAAATCTTAAGACTTTTCTCATCCCTGAACTGATTTCCGTGTAACACTGATTACTGGCCAATGCACTAGTGGGTACAACCTGTATACAACTGTTACACATCAACAAAAGCAAACTAATATGCAAGTGTATTTGTTCTGATGCAACTAATCACCAACGCCTTCGCACCGTGGCACCCAAAACTCTAATGTGGAGTGAGTTTGCTCACCTAAGAGCTATTATATTAACATAGTTACCAGACTTTCCAAAGCTTTTTTTTTTTTCTTTGCTAGTTCCAGGTTATCAGATGGTTTAAAACTCTGACATGTGGGCAAAGTAACATCACATTTTTAAAGGTCCTTGAAGCTAGCCTAGGCATTTCCAACAACATTCCTGTGGTCCCCAATTTGAGAAATTGCCACAGTGGCACTGCAAGGCTGTGAAGGTGAGAACAAGGAGGCTTCAGCCCTGGGTCGTCTTCAGGAGTTTCACTTTCTTCACCTACTTCCAACAATCCTGACTGCAGTTTAAATCTAAAAAGCCCTCCTGGGCTCATAGGAAGGGATTCTGGAACCGCACTTTGGGCATGGTAGAGACAATGTGCTGTCACGAGCCAGTCTGGTTAGAAGAGGTGGGGCACAGTACAAGTGACCCGGAAGGAAGGGATCAGGTCCCTGCCCGGCCCTCCCCTCACTCACTGCCTCTGGTCCCCATGCTACGAGCTGCTCTCCTCTGCCAGGCCCTGTGCCAGCAGGCTGTGCCCCAAATGTAAGCCAAAATCAACCTCTCCTCCCTTAAGTCGTGGGTTTCAGCTATTTGTCCCAATAATAGGAAAAGTGAGTAAGAAAACCACTTTCTGAGAGAGTTTAATACACAAGAGAATAAAATGGGAGAGTTACATAAAACACATGTGTAGCAGACAACAGGCAAGGACACTCGGGCTGAGGACGGCTCCGAGTCACCCCTCTAGGAAATGACACCTTTCCCAGGACCTCAGACCTGGCTTCTTCCGACTGCTGCGTACATGAAGGGCAGCCGCTGATCTGGCTGACGGTATTCAGAAGAAGGGTCATTGCACGGCATTTTCTGGGCTCTCTATAAAGTACACAGAGGCCTCAAAGCTCATGCCCTATCCTCAGAAATCTGAATAGAGGAATCTAGAAACACGGCCCTTTCTTTAGCTATCTATCAAAAAAGTACTTTTTATGAACATCATGAAGACTCAGTAACGGGGTGGGTGAGAATAGGAAGTTTGAAAAACAATGCGCATGGACACAAGGGAAATTATCCTTCAACTACTGCCAGTCCGCTAGAAAACTCCCTCGACTGTCACAGCTGGGAGGGGGCTGTCAGGGCGGGAAACCCCAGAACACTGCTCCCCCGACCCACCTACACCACCTCGGGAAGGTTGGGTTTGGCAGGCTGCTGAGTGGGGACACGGCGGGGGCCAGAGCCCGGACACCGCTGCAACATCCTGGGTCACCAACATGCGCCCAGCGCTCGCTGGGGCTTACCTTTTGCGATCTGCTGCCACCAGCTGTTGATTTGGGGGACTCTGCCAGGTTTTCCTTGCCCACACTCTGCAGGCACAGGGCTGACTTCTGCGCGGCGAGGCGGGGGCTGGTCCTGGTGGCCAGGGTGGTCCTCCGCAGGACATAGGGGCTGGTCTTTCCGGTCGGGATGTCAGCAAAGCCTATGGGCAAAGACGCCGGCTGTCAAGGCTGCAGGTCCAATCCCGGAAGCGGTGGCCAAGTCAGAGCACTAGGCAGAATCTTAACACAAAGTAGCTCCACAAATACTTTCTTTCTGCGCCAGGGCCAGGCAGTACACTTCACCTTCCCTGAGGTCACCAGCTCGAGTGAATTACTACCACATTTTCTCTTTTTAGAAACAAAGATCCACGTGGGAAAGGGCAAAGGTGGCACTATGTACCAAGAACATTTGTTTTCTGCTTCTGCTATACAGATGACCTGGCTCGCATTATTCTAAAATCTAAAGAACAGCAGAGTTTATGGTAAAATTTAGATTGGAGGGGAAAAGAAAAAAGAGGGCAACGTGGAAAAGACAATTCCAAAAAGCCAGCCGCTAGGCAGAGGGAAGAAAGGCAGAACAATGGACTCTTCTTCAGGCAGTTTGAGGCGGTGGCGGCCTGGCCCCGAGAGCAACCAACCGCACTCGGCCTGTGTCAGCTTCTTCCAGAGAAAGGGCTGACAGTGACCACATGGAGAAAAGGTCACTGACCCCAGGGACAGTCAGGGACGGCGCATCGCACTCCCCAGAGGTGCTCAGCGCTAACCAACACGGTGGCTATTTTTAAGCCTTTACAAAGAAAAATCACCCATTGGAAAGAGACAGCTAACTTTTCATGACGGTTTTTCACAACTGTGTTTTTCCAACAATCTACATAGCAAAGGACAAGTTTTGGCCATATGAGGGGCATTTCCATTCTGCAGAGCGATCCTATGCTCGATTAATAAAAAGAGACTGAGCTCAAGGAAAAAGCCCCTGCGTGCTCAGATGTTAGCACCATATCGACTGCTGTGAAAATTTCTAACCTCTTCCTCTCAATTTCAGAACACTTTCTGGTCGAGCAGCACCACCCGTAACAGGCGGTTTTGTGGCTGAACCTGCATCACTTGGCTGCACGTGGGTGACCAGAGTTAAAAAAAAAAAAGTGTAAGGGCCGGCAAGATAGCTCAGCGGACTAAGTACCTGCTTCGGCAAGCACAGGGTCAACAGTAGGGGGTCCCCCATGCCACACCGGCCATGGCCCCGGGGCACGCTGAGCCAGTGACTGAGTCTAGGCACTGTGGGGCACGCCTGTAATCCCAGCCCTGGGGAGGCTGGAAATAGGAGAATCACTACAAGTCCGAGCTGCAGAGGGAGACCCTGTACTAAATACAAAAAAAATGAAAGAAAAAAAAGTGTTCAGTGGCACCAGCCACACGGGGAGCATTACCTGCTCTCTGGGTAACAGACAAGGGAGGAAAGAGCTCCAAGGAGTCCAGAAGAATCATCAAATTCTAAACGGGTTTCTGAGCATCATCCCTGGCCCCAACTCTTCTGTAGTGGGTCATGAGGAATTAATCCTAACCAATTTTTCATGAGCTATGATTACTAAAGGTCAGTTGGAATTGTTGCAAATAACTCCAAACTCTAAAAAATCAGCATTCCTGGTTTGTTTTTTTGTTTGTTGGTTTGTTTTTTTGCAGTACTGAGGATTGAACTCAGGACCCTGCGCTTACCAGACAAGCACTTATTCTACTATCTCCCCAGAGCCCCTGTTTTTTTTATATGTGAACTATTATATAAAATTTTTAAAAACACATGGTTTTCAGAGATTTTTGCTTTGTTCTGAGGAGCTGGGGATAAAACCCAGGGGCCTCCCCCACCACACTGGGGACACGCCCTACCACCAAGCTGCTCCCCAGCCTGGGGTCCTGGTTTTAAACTTTGCATACCTTTCTTTACAACTTCGGGAAGTCCTTCTGGCTCAAACTCATCTTCATCCCCAGCAAGAAGGAGGCCACCACCTGAGACCGCTTTCCGACTTCTTTTAGGAAAGGTCTCGGGAGTAGAAGGTGTCAGCCCTCCTGCACTGTCCCAAATCCCGCTGGCCCTCTGTCGCTTGCCCGAACCTTTACTTTGGCCAGATGACGACTTCCTTTCACCGCCTGAGGGGCCCGGAGATGGCCCTGGTGTGGCTGAGCCTGGCAGAGGAGACCCGCTCAGCCCACGCTTCTGCTGCTGCGAACTCAGGCCAGCGAGCTGTGTCTCTAACATCTCCTTCGCTTTCTCTAACTTCTCGTGGCTGATGAGCAGGGAGCAGTACTTATCCAGGTACTCATCGGCCTCCTTGGCTTTGTCTTCAAGAGTTTCCTTCAGCTCTCTGATTTCAGTCATTAGCTCATCCACACTGGCACCCACAGCAGCACCTGTCCCAAAGAGAGTGACGCATCACGTGCAATCTGGTCTGCTCTGCCCTCTGCATTTTGCAGAGGGGTTAGGGACAAGTAGGTATTTGGGTTCTTACAGTTCAAAAGACTCTCGCTTAAGGATGCATCGTATCCAGGTACAGATTCCAGCAGACTGCATACTCTTACTGGAATACTAAATAAAATCCACCCATATCGCTAGCTACATCCTTTCTCGATCAACCTGTTCAACTTCCTTTAGGAAGTAGTTCTACAACATAAAATGGGTTAAGTCCTTGTAGCTTCTTTTCTCCCATCCATTCTTTCTACAATAAGTGAATGAAAAACGTAAATTAGGAAGACCGTGAAATCTGCTGTATGGCTGTGGGACAGGACAGAGGTCCAGGGACAAGGGAGGTCCACGAGGGCCCTCAAGCCCCTGGAGGCACTGGAGTCCTAGTGGACAGGAGATTGGGGGGTGCAATATAAAGATTTTGCTATGTTCTGCCACAAGTGGTTTAAAATCCACTGGAAACCCCAATCTACTCCAAGTACTCCCCAAGCAGACAGAGCTGCCTTACTGAGCTATGCCACAGGGCAGCCACTCATGCTGTCACCTGCCAGGGGAGCGTGTCCCTCTGGGAGTGTAAGAGGGACAGTGACAAGGAAAGGTGTCTGTTAGTTTGCTTAGTTTCTTACAGACCCCAAAATTTACTTCCCCGCTCCTTCCTTAGGTGACCCCTGAGGCAAGGCCAGGACTGGTCAGAACCAGCTACTCCCAAGTTAGCGATGTCAACTCAGATGCCAATCTGCCTTTCACGAAAAGACTTCAATGGACACGACTGTGAAAAACTCTTCCTATAGGCTCACAGGCAAAAGGTCGCACCTGCCAGGCGTGTAGCACTCAGGAGGCTGAGGCAGGAGGGCTGCTGCGAGCTTAAGGCCAGCATGGGCTACATAGTAAGACTGTATCTCAAAACAAACCGAAGAAAAAAAGGTAACACAGATGTTTTTTTGGCAAGTTCTGAAGAAGATAAAGCAACTCAACTTCAAAAATCATACAACGACCCCAAGCCTCACATTCATACACTGAGAAATGAATAGTTGCTGAAAACAGACTCACAGCAGACTCTAAAAGCAGTTTCCCTGAACGCACACCCAAGCGTGCTCGCACACCCGGAAGGCAGTCTGAGGCAGAGGGCGCGACCGCTGCCAACACCAACCTGGTTTTTGCTTCTGGGCCGCTTCCAGCTGAGACAGCTCTTTCTGCAACAGTTTCTTCTCCTCCTCTAGCTGCTTGCAGGACTTGAGCAACAACTTTATTTTCCCATGAGCACGTTCATTTTCCTTCTTCAGCTGATCTACGTATTTCAGGTGGTCTGCCTATAAAACCAAGTCATTCCACTTCAAACCCTGAATCTCCTTTTATAAGGCAGAAGGAAAAGCAACTATGAAAGTAAGAACCACATATTGTAAATTTCGCACCTCAAGATGCAGACCCTGGCCACCACAGCCAGCTTCCCGTGTCTCCCGGGCACACCCATGGCACTGCCACCCGTCCTTAGCATCACAAGCATCTGTCGTGGCCCCAAGATCACACCCCATGGCTTGCAGGCCCATGACAGCATTAAACGGCAGCAAGCACTGCAAGTCTGAGCACGACACAAGCCTGGGGCTATTTCAGTTCCAGAGCTGAAAACAGTGCGTCCCTCTCAGGTCTTACAAAAGCTACCCAGGGGCGCACACCACAATGAGTCTGTGACGGGGACACTCACCCTGCTGCTCTTTGCTTCTGCCAAGAGCGTGTCTAATTCTTCAGTGAGCCTGCGTTTCTCTCCACTCAGTTCCTCTTTCAGCTCTGTTGCTTTCTGCACCATAGCTTGCATCTCTCCCTGTAGCTCAGCCTCCTTTGCAGTCATGGTGCTCACCTGTAATTTCAAATCCATTAGCAGATCTGCGGCGCTCACACGACCCACTCCGATCCCACCTTTCCTGGCACTGACTTGGCCTCCAGTAATGAAACAGACTGTGGCAAACCCACCCTTGACCAGCATTCTCAAAACCTCAACAAAGACTGAAGGAAGGACAGCAATAAGAATAATCAATAACAAGGACAGGTAATATCACTAAGTCATAAACTCCCTCAAAACGGTACTAATTTAAATTGAACCCTAGAGAACAATTAATGAGGCAGTGCTTTAAGCGTTTCTGAGTTCCTGGGTCTCAAGCCCTGGAGCAGGGCCACCCTTAGTGCAACCCACAGAAGGTTCTGTTGCTCACATTTGCCCCTAAGAGTTGAAGTCACCTGTAAGGTTTATCTCCTCGCCTCTCTGTTCACTGCCATTTCTTGGAAGGTGTACAAAAACCTGAAATTCTTGGAAATTGCAGAGTTAGGGTGAATTGTACTTTCTGGATATTCGTGTTTTTATTACTGGTTCAGTAAAGATTTAATAAAAAGGAAACATGTTCCCAGATCAGCCAGCGAACACTTGGGACTGAGCAAACCTCTAGGTGGCAGATCTGCCCTGCAGGCATCAACAAACAGAAGCACTGAGTATAGAAAGACACAGCATTAAAGAAGGGGCTGCAGGCGCGAGGCCCCTAGACACACCCCAGGAACCACGCGTGCCGCTTGTCACACGGCATCAGCATCTTTTAATTTCTCTAGAAGCTGAGAAGGAGGGAGGCAGGGAATCCCGACCGATGGTCCTGAGAGGTGTCATTATAGTCACTAACAGTGGTTCCCAACTGGGTCCAGGAAGGCCACCTTACAATAGGGGAGCTGGAAGAGTTAGGAGCCATTCAGGGCACCACGCTTCCCCTATCTGGAAGTATCACAGTAAAAACCTGACCCAACTCTGGAAAACACCCCCTGTGAGTGTGCCAGAGCCCTCCCCACTACCAGAGATGCAACAGTGGCACAAGCCTAACCTTCCAGAGTTGGGTCAAACCGGGCCGTCCTTTTTGGAAAAACGTTAATTCACAAAGCACTCCCCTCCACATGCAGGACTACATACTTAAATGTAAATAGGTAAAAGGCCACTTACTTTTTCAACCAAGGACATTTTCTCCATTTTTGTCAACGTGAGCTCACTCTCTAGCTCCTTGCCAGACTTCTGCAACGCTTCGAAAGCCTCCTGCAAGGTGGCGTTCTTGGACTGCAGTTCTTGGACCTTCTGCTCCAATTCCCCTGCCAAAGTTCCCAGGTCCGCTTTCTGCTTCTGCCAGAGCTGCCGCTCCCCCTCCGCCTGGGACAGTTTGGAGGTGAGCTGCTCCTGGTCTTGAAGCTGACCCTTCAGCCGACTGAGCTCCTCCTCCTTCTGCTCTAGCTTCTGCTTGCCATCTTCTGCTTCCTGCAGGAGGCCATTCACTGAAGATTGCAAAACAATGTAATTAAGTTTGGCTTCCTCCAGGTCCCGGAGCAACTGAGCCTTCTCCAGTTCAAGAGACTCCACCCGACTGCTCAGACTCTGCTCCTTGGTCCTGCAGGCCTCCTGGTCCTCGTGCAAGGCTGTCATTTTCTCATTCAGTGATTTTAACTGTGCCTGAAGCGCATCCACTGCCATCTCAGACTCCTCTTGTAGCTGGACTTTCTGGCGCTCCTTTTCTTGCAACAGGTTTTCCAAGGAAGAGTTTACTGTTTCTAACTCTGCCACACGTGCTTGCTCCCCTTGCAGTCCTTTGGTCAGATTTTCTTTTTCCGACTTTGTATTAACAAGATCAGCTTCCAAGTCCCTCAGGGTTCCGGCCAGCCCTTGGATTTCTTCTCTCAGGGTCTCCACCTCGGCTCCAGACTTCTCAGCCTCACGAGCCGCCTGCTCTTGGTTTCTCCGGGTCAGCTCCAGCTCCTTTTCCAGACTCTCAACCCGACCTCTCAGCAAATCCACGTCGCCCTGGCTTTCCTTCAGCTGTTCCAGGACACGGAGCTGCCTCTTGCGATCTGCTCCCACGCGGGTCCTGAGCCTCCCGATGCTGTCCCGTAGCCGAGGCACTTCATCCCCCGGGGCACCCAGGTTCAGTTCCGTGGCCTCCTCCAGGTCACCTTGGTCCTCACCCAAGGCTGCCACCTCCTCCCGCAGCCCTCTCAGTTCTGCCTGGATCGCCTCTACCGCGCTTTCAGAGTCCTCCTGCAACTGTACTCTCGCTCGTTCCTTTTCCTCTACCAGGCTTCTAAGGGAAGAGAGCTGCGCCTCCAATTCTGACACCTGGCCCCGTGTCTCCTGCAGCTGCTGGGTCAGATCGCCCTTTTCCGACCTGACTGTGGCGAGGTCTGCTTGGGACCCTCTCAGGCTTTCACTCATCTCCTCCACCTGCATTCTCAGGGTCTCCACCTCGGCTTTGGCACTCTCGGCATCCAGGATCACCAGCTCTTGGTTCTCCTCGGACACCTGCAGCTCCCGCTGGAGACCCTCCACCTTGTCCCGCAGCTCATCGCTCTCGCGCAGGCTCCCCCTCAGCTTCTCCAGCACGTCCCGCTGCTTCTGCTCATCGGCCTCAATGCGCACGCGCAGCTTCTCCATGCCCTTCCGCAGCTGACATACCTCCTCCTGGGTGGAGCCCAGCCGTGCAGCAAACTCGTCTCTCTCCAACCGCACCACCTCCAGCGCCCTGGACTCAGTCAGCCTTTCCTGTTCCGACTCACTTAGTTTGACCTGCAGGCTTTCGGCCTCGTTGCTCAGCGATGCCTTCTCCTCCTCCAGTTGTCTGAGTTGGCTTTCAAGGTCCCGTGCTGCGGAGGACAGTGCCTGGCGGTCCCCTTCCAACCTCTGCAGCTGTTCCTGCAGGTCACCTTTGTCTGCTGACAGCTCACTCACCTGCGAGGACAGCGTCTGAAGGACAGCTGCTTTGTCCCTGACCTCAGCCTCCAGCGCCTGGACTTTGTCCTGCATGGCCTCAGCCAACTGCGCCAGCGTGTCATTTTCTTTGGTCACTGTGTCCAAGTCCCCGTGAAGCCGGTTTCTCTCTCTTGTGGCGACAGAGAGTTCTTCTTCAAGGCGGGCCATAACTTTCTTATTATTTTCATTATCTTTTTCCAAACACAGCTTCTCGGTGTGAGCCACCTCTAGGTTGGCTTCCAGGGCGGCAGTCCGATGTTCCATTCTAGCGTTCTCAGCCTTGACCCTGTTGAGCTCATTTTCCACCTGGAGAAACTGCTCCTTCCAGCTGTCACCAACCTGCGCCACATTCTCCTCAGGAACTTCCTGTGAGGACTCATCAGTGCCCATTTCTAAATTAGAACTAGGGGCTTGAGAAGTTTCTACTGACAAGCAGAATTCCTGGCTGGTATGCGAGAAGGAGTCCAGCTTTTCACGCAAGTCATGTTTTTCTTTCTGGAGTTCCTCAACTATTTTTTCCAAATGTGAGCACAGTTCTATCTTAGTCTTTAGTTGTAGTTCCTGAAAATCAAGTTTTGAGTCTAAGTCTTTTCTTTCATTTAGCAAACTTTCAACTTTTCTTTCCTGATCTTCTATGGCGTGACGTAATCTCAAGTTCTCACTCGCTGTCTCTTGGACCTGCAGCTGGAGATGCTGGATGGAGAGCTGGGTCTCCACCAACTCCACGGGAGCGAAAGCGTGAGGGCCGCTCAAGGACACCTCCGGAGAGCGCTCAGCACAGCCCTGGCTGTCGTCTCTGGCTACTATCTCCTCGCTGGTTTCTGGGGGCGTTTCCCCAGCTCCTGGTGTGACCAGTGGGGTCTTGGTGGTGTCCCCAGTCTCTACCCTGAGGTCCTGCTGCACGACCCCTTCACAAATCTGGTAATTGTCTTGTTTTGGTGTTTTTTCAGTAACTTCTGGTTCTTTGAAGTCACAGCTATCATTTTGGTCCTGAATAGCCTGCAATCACAACATAGAACAGGAATGAATGTTATTTTTCAAGAACTAAGGGCCTAATTTATTACTGCACATCCTCCCCACAACTGCCTTCCTTCTCTCAGTCCCAGCTGTGACTCAGCACAGGGCAACACTAGGTAAGCCCTGCCTGTGTTAAAGCCCTGGACAAGGTATACATCAGGAAGAATCATCCCCCTCATTCTTGGCGCAACTAAATTTTAACACATTGAAATTTCACCTTTTCCTCCTTGCTAGGAATGGCCTACGCACTTTAAATATTAGAGGTCTTTTTGATTATCAAATACAGGACTAACAAATTCTGTGTGAAACATCCAGCTGTCGTCCTCAGTATCTATGATATTCTTCATAAGAGAAGGGCATGAAGGTTCATGAGCAGACACCCAGCCCCAGGGCTTCACCCGTCTGCCCAGCGCCTACTCGGCACAGCCCTGGACACCTGCACGCAGGCTTCACGTTTCCCTCTCACCTGAACAATGGGAGCTGCCACTGTGGCCGCTCCTCTCCCCACCCCGACTGCCTTCCCCACCTCACAGAGGCAGACAGTGCAACGCGGACACTGCAAGCCGTTATCAAGAGTGGGCCAATTGGAAGGACAGAGCTGAAAGTGATGCTACAAGAACACATTCGAGAAAGAAAGAAATGCCTGTTTAAGTGACTGGTAGTGAGGAACGCATCTGCACCACAGCCGATTGTTAGGGAAAATTAAGTAACATGTAAAGTCACTTAGTGACTATTTAGTTCTGTGACGCTAAAGCTTTAACATCAAAAATGTCTGAAAGGGGCCTGAGGTTAAAAATCTGTCACACTACCACTCTGAAAACCTTAATTTCCAAGTGTATCTCATCAACCCACAGTGCAAGCCCACGCACTGTATAAAGACCTGTGGACACTGTGATGGCCTGTGCTCCAGAATTAAGGAATGTTCCATATAGCAGTGTTTAAATCTAATCACTACAAAGATGTATTTCTCAGAGTCCCCTTGTGTTTCTACAGTTCTGGTTGGTTTTGAAAAAAAATCTGTATTTATCTCCTTGAACCCTAAAAACATTCTAGCTAAGATTTTAGGTTGACGACAATGCAACAAACATCTACGAAGGGACAGCTGGCCACCCAGACTGACAAGCAGCACACCAACCCGGGTCCTCACCTCTTCTAGGTCAGCTCCAAGCAGCGACCGAGAGCTCAGCTCCAGGCCCTGCAGCTGCAGCCTTGCCACCTCCAGCTCAAGCGACAGGTGCTCCGTCTGCTGCTTCTCTGCCGCCAGCCTCGACTCCATCTCCAGAGTCACGCTCGTGAGCTTCTGCTGCCACTCCTCGTTCTGGGACAAGTACTGCTTCCTAAGGCGGTCCAGCTCTGTCCTTTCACAGCTTAACAGCTGCTCCAGCTCTTGAATTTCCTTATCTTTCATCACCGCTTGGCTCTCCATTTTCTCCTCCAGATTCTTGAGCGACTGCAAGTACCCCTGGCAGAGGGTCTCGAGTTCTTCAACACTCTTCTTCGGGGTGGCTGGGGCTGCTTTTGTGGACAGAGGCACCTCCTCCAGGCTGGAGTTTGCTAAAACACTGTCCCCTAAATTATTCAAAAGAGACGTGTCTCCAGTCTGTTCTAAAACATCTTGATAAAAAGAGGCCTCTCCTAAACTCGCCACACTCGGGCTGCCGGACACACAAGAGAAGGACTGTGACAGAACAGCTCCCTCCGGCTGCATCTCCTTTGCCAAGTCGCCCTGCAGGCTTCTGAGATTGACTGACAAGGCTGAATTTTCAGCCTTCAGCCCGTCAACGTAGGACTGTAGCTCCAACATCTTGGCGTTCATCAGACAGTGCTGATCGTGTAGTATCTTGTGCTCCCCTCGTAAGGAGGAGAATTTCTCCTGTAGCTCGGCAAAGTGCGCTTGAACCTCTTTGCCGGACAAGGACAACTGCTCATAAGAACTGCTATCATCCAGAGCATTCAAGGACACAGGTGCCTGCTCACTTTGCTGCCCAGCAAATTCGCTGGCCAGCATTTCTCCCCCAGACTCGCTTTGGGGAAGGCCGTTTTCATCCTTCAGCATTCTCATTTCACTCACAAGCTTCTCTACCTCTCCTGCTATTCTAGTAGCCGCAGTGACACACTCTGACCTGGAGCTGTTCAGCTCCGACACCAGCTGCAGCTTCTCCACCTGCAGTGACTCACACACCTTCTCCAGCTCGCCCAGCTTGCTCAAGGCCGCCTGGAGGGAACACTGCACGTGTGTACTGTCGTCCTGCCTTGGGGACAGCTCCCAAAGCGCTGAGCTGTGCTTCCCTTCTGCGTCCACTTCGCAGCCCGTAAGGTCCCTCATTTCCTGTGACAAACACTCTTGCACATCTCCAGCTCCTAAGGCTCCTCTACGTGTCTGTAACTCCTGCTTCAGGCGGTCTTTCTCCTTCTCGCTTTCCTGAAGTTTTAATTCCATATTTCTCACCAAGGCTTCTAGTTGGACCAGCTGTGCACTGTGGTGGTTTGGGGCGATGTCTCCGGCTCCAAGATCCATCTGAAGCTGGACAGTACACATATTTATCTCAACGTCTCTTTCTTTCACAGAGTCTCTAACTGGTTCCAACTCGACCTGCTGACCCTCACGTCCAGTCTTTAACTTCAGTTGTTCATTCTCTTGTAACAGGTCATTAACTTCCTTTTGCATCTTATTTTGTTCTTCCTTTAAAGTCATGATTTCTTGCTTTAAGCCATCAGCCTCACTCTTGGAACTGCTGTGGAGGTCCCTAATCTCAGATTCCAGAGCTTGCCGCGCTACCCCAAACTCTAGTAGGAGCTTCTCTTTCTGTTCTTCCGCCAAAGCTAATTTCCCTACGACCTCCTGCTGCTGTCTTGCAAATGTTTCCTTTAGCTGCTCCAGTTCATTTTTCCTACTTTCACAAGTACCGGTGCATTCGTGTAGCAAACATTCTAACCTCAAGGCCTTTTCCTGGGCTGCTTGGTATTTCTCACTGAGATCCTCAAATGCACTTCCGGTCTCCTCACACCTCTGTAGTAAAATAAGCCTTTCTTGCTTGTATTGATCAGACAGCTGTGAAATGCTCTGCTCCCGCTCCTCTATACAGTTTGAAAATTCCACATTTTTTTGGAGTAAGCTCTTTTTCTCTTGGTTTAAGATTTCATTCGTCTCTTTGAGAGTCCCGTTCTCTCTGGCAAGCTCTTCCATTTCTTTTTTACTTAGAGAAATAATGGAACTCATCTCCTTTTTCTCCGAACTCAGGGTTTCAGACAAAAGCTGTTGCTCCTTTAGAGAGGCCTCGAGGAGCTGGTTGCTCCTTTTCAATTCGTGGATCTCTGCTTGCTCAGCTTCTAATCTTGCCTTCCAGAGTTCCAACTCTTTTTCCTTGTGCTCAAGGGTAACCAAAGTCTCTGCAACGACGTTTTGGTGAATGGAAGTGTCCTCCTGTAACTTGCAAATGCGCTGACTTGTCTCGGCCACGAAGCTTTCATGCATCTGCTCTGCTTTAATGAGATTTTCTTCTATGTCCCCTTTGATGTGCACCAGCTCTTCACACTGCTTCTGCAGCTCGGAGTTCATCTGCTTCTGAGACTCTAAGGAAAACTGGAGCAAGACAACTCTATTTTGTAGGACGGCTGAACTTTCTGGACTTGGGTCTACGTCTAAAAGACACTGGCTCCTTTCTAACACACTTGTTCTTGTTCCTTGTTCTCCCACTGCACTTCCAAAGGAGGGATTCAGTGCAGACTGCTGCTCAAAAGCCGGACTGCCGCACTGCGGGCCCTTGTGTGGCAGAGAAGCGTCTCTGGATTTCAGCAGGTCTCTGAGGTTCTCACACTCAGCCTGCAAGTCTTGGTAGTGCTGGCCCTTGTCCACGAGCTCACTGGACAGCGCCTGCAGCTTCCGCTCCAGGTCTCCAACCTGCTCCGTAAGCTGAGAGGTCTTGAGGCTCAGATTCTCCACTTCCTTCTTGTGCTTCTGCTCCGAGAGTTCGGCCTGCTGCTGCAGCTCTCCACAGGCCTGCCTCTGCGTCTCGACCTCCCTCGTCTTGCTGTCAACCATGTTGCGCAGGTTCCTCATCTCCACACTGAGGTTGTCCCTTTCCATCTCCAGGGTCCTGACCCTCTCATTATACTCCTGGCTTTTTATCTGTTGCGTCTTGAGGCATGTTTCTAAGTGATTGACTTTATTCTGCAAGCTTTCCTTGTCCGATTCCATCTGATGGAGAAGTTTCTCGCTCTCACTTTTCCAATGGGAAAACTGAGTCTTCTCCTCATTCAATGCCTCATATTCTTTCTTTGTGGACTCCAAGGCACTCAGTAAAGCTTGGGACTCTTTCTCTACCTTACTTAACTTCTCGTTCAGTTGCTCGATGTGATGTTCCCTCTTCTTCAAAAGATCTTGGGAACAATCTCGCTGCTTTTCCAGATCAGCCAAGGTGAGTTTCAGTTTCTCTAAAGTCAAGGAGTTTTCTTGCTGGTTTATTTTTTCTTGAAGCTCTCTTAATATGGTTTCCTGAGAGGTGTTCTTAGCTATTTAAAAAAGACCAAGAAAATCTGTCAATGCCTTTAATAAATATGTATTCTCCCAGACACCTAAGCTCTAGCACTAGGGGACAGCACAGTGGTAGAGCACTCACCTGGCATGCAGGAGGCCTTGGGTTCAAATCTCCAGCTTTTACTGGTTTGTGTCTAGGTGTCCACCCAAGGCTTCAAGTAGTCACTGGGGCGGACTCTAGAGTTCGTGATGAACTCATGATCGAATGCTGGGATTACAGTGTGAGTACTACACCCGCCCCGGGCAGACAGCCTGGATGCAGTGTGAGGAAGGGAGAGAGGCTTGCCTCTGCCTCCACCGCCTCTACCACGGCTCCTCCCTTTTTGCTCTCGCTGGTTTGCTGTCTTCCGCAGCATGCACGGCTGCACCCTGCCATGTGCCACTCTGCCCTGGAGCCAGCCGAGTATAGACTAAAATCTCCACAAACTGCGAGCTAAATAAACCTTTTTTTCCTTCATTTTGTGTGTTGGGTATTTTGTCCCAGCAATGACAGGGAAGTAACTGAGCCAGAATGGCACTACACCAATACCGTTACATACTCTAAATGCTAAAAAGTCTAAACAAACTAATATATCTGTACTTTTTTTTCCATTTATTCAGAGAGAAAACAGAAGAATACTAAAATGAAAATATCCCAGTTGACTGTGAGGCAATTTTGATGGCCATGAAAAATAAAGAGCTACTCTACCATCAGCCACCACTCCATGATGCAGTACATCAGTAACTCTCCCGGCCCGTACGAGAGTCCATTGAGGGATGATTTCTCCCTCCCAGTACGGGTGGTGAGGGAACTGGAATCATTGGGAACTTCTACAACTACCCTACTTTCTACCCAGTGACTGGCCTTTATGCACAGCCCTTTCTGGCTGGGAATAACCATGGTGTCTCACTGAACAGTGAAAATAAGGCTTCAGATTCACACTCACCAGTTACTCTAGCACACGGGCAAGACAGAGAGCTGGCAGCCTCAGGGGTAGGTAAGAGAGGCAGCATGGATCTCAGGTTCACTACTAAACAGAAAGCCACATGCGTTTCTGACCCCTGATCTTAAACCAAACCCTGAGAGGTGACAGCTTTAGGGTGGTCCCCAAGCACTTCTGTCCCCCTGGCTTGGGAGGACCTCAAGCAATGGCGCTGATGCCCAGCACTGAGAAGCAGCCCAGCCACCATCAGCCCACCACTTGCCCTCAGGACGAGCGTTTCTACCTGCTGCTATTGAAAATGGAAAGAAAGCTCCCTTGGGGAGGTTTAGTCCCAGCTGCTTGGGAGGCTGAGGCAGAAGGATAGTTTCAGCCCAGGACGTTGAGACCAACCTGGGTGAAATGAGGAGATGCCATCTCAGGAAACACGAAAATTGGGGCTGGGGAGATAGCTCAGTAGAATAAGTGCTTGCCTGGCAAGCGCAAGGGCCTGAGTTTAATCCCTAGTACCACTAACAAAAAGAAAAAAGAAAAACAAAAGAAACACAAAAATTAAAATTAAAATATCTGTGTGGAAGTATAATGCACATTCAAAGGCTAGAGTCAAAAGAAATTCCTACACCAGGTAACAAAAAACATGATGGAAGACTAAGAGAAAAAGAAATGGGAAGCAGATGTGGATTTGCCTCGTGTGTACCGCCTAACTCCTTGGCTTGAAAGTTAAGAAATGAAATCACTCGGCCTAGCAAGTTGTCAAAACACAGAGGACAGGGCTGGCGAGACAGCTCAGCGGACTAAGCGCCTGCTTAGGCAAGGGCAGGGACCAGGGTTTGATCCTGGTCCTGCAATGCTGCGCCAGCCCTGCACCCGGGTGTGCTGAGCTGGCAACCAACTCCAGCTATGGTGGTGCACCCCTGTAATCCCAGCTCTGGGAGGCTTGAAAACAGGAGGATCATTACGAGTCCGAGCTGGGTAGTGAGGCCCTGCCCAAAATACAAAAAACTAAAAGAAAACACAGTGGGTATGAAGGGCTTAAAAACCATCCACCGAGGACCCGGGTTTGGCACTCTGAGAGGGGCAGTGCTAAGCAGAGGCTGAGCAGATGTCTGTCAGCAACCCACTGGAGGCCCCAGAGCAGCATTGAGGTGAGAGGCAGTTTTTTGTGGGACATATTACTTTTCTGGTTTCAAAGTGATTTTAAAAACCAGGTACTTTGGAATTCGCACTGCCCCAGATTTTAAAAGTCCTATCACAATAGGACTACAAAGCGGAAGACAAAATTTTTCCCACCTGTCTGCAGACATCTTTGGGGGTAATATAAGGAAGAACTCGAGATTTTGCTACAGCAGCAAGGCCACTCCCTCCTTCACGGCCACAGCAGACCTGGACAAGTGAGTCCCCTCACCTTTCATTTCTTCCGCGAAGTTCTGACTCTGACTCAAACACGCCCGGACCTTCCGGAGCTCCTCCTCCAGGTGGCCGACTTCTCTGGCCCTTTGTTCAGACTGGCTCCGAAGGAAGCAGTTCTCCTTCTCCATTTCCTACAACCCAAATGTGTTGGTTATCATCACAACTGACGCTGCAGCATCTGACCTCTGTGCCTGGCAGACATGCCTGGGTATCTCACGTAGAATCCCAAGTCCCCTTTCACTTTCTCGTGTGACTCGAATGCCATGAATAAAAAAGCAAAAGAAACACAAAACCCACGTCAGACAAAATCCTTCGTCCTTCAAGATAACTGTCTCTGTGACATGTCTGGTTATACGCATGCTTCTGACAGAGTTAGCTCAAAAGGACAAACCTAGTTACAAAACCCTTAGGATAAAAGCTCTGCTTTCTGCTGGGCGTGCCAGCACACACCGGCTATCCCAACACTGCAGGGGCTGAGGCAAGAGGACCACTGCAAGTTCAAGGCCAGCCTGGGGTACATAAGAAGGAGTTCAAGACCAGTTTGAACTAAATGACGAAATCTGGGTTCGAAAAACCAAAACCAAAGCACTCCAAGTTCTTAGCATACCTGACTGATCAAATATATCTCTGCAAAGAGCAGATGTGCTAATAAATAAAAATATTCATATGAGAAATTTCCACTTTTATTTGCAAAATCATCTGAAAGTTCATTGTTACAAAAATGTCTTCATGGGAAAAATTACCTTCCATAAGTTTTCATCAAGAAAATCTGCAGTGGTCACCATACTGAAATGCACTTTACAAAGAATACAAATATAAATAAGACAGAATCTCTGGCCTCAGGACAAGCACCCTCCAGAGAAAGAAAAGATACGAAACCCATCACTTAGTACACACCAGGCTCTCGACGCTGAAGAGACAAGGAGTGTACTCCGACAGAGCAAAGGCTGGTGCATAGAACGATAATTAATTCTGATGGCGGAGTCTAAGCTTCCACAAGGAAAATGAGTTCCTGGGGTGCTCAGTGATGTAAGTATCCAGACATCAAAGTACGATAAAATGGGAGAGATGAATTTACGCAATCCCATCCCATTATCTCAGGAGACCTCTAACCGCCAGGCCAAGTGATATTTACACGACAAATAAAAACACAGCTGCTCCTTAAGCATAGATACGACTCACATGAAACACACAACACATACGCTCCTCGTTCGCTAAATCTTTCGTGATCATCACAGCTGATCAGCATTTCAAAGCACAGGTACAGCACGCTCAGCACGCAGGGCACCAGCGCAGATCATCACAAACCCACAACACCCAGAGTCCCCATCATTAAGGGAAAGAAAAAATCTCAAGGCTACTTTTTTTAAAACTGCCATTTCAGCAAAACAAAAACTTTCACTCTGAGAAGCAGGGACGTAGTTTTGAACCTTACAGCAACAGTGAAGGCCTGTCCTCCAAGCCCGACCGCACCATTCGGAAGCAGATGGCCTGGCGCTGTTGCGCTGGAAGGCTTCCCACAAGCCCGCACCTGGTTCCACGGCAGACGGGGAGCAGGGCTGCCGAGCGAAGCGCACGAACATGGGGATGCTGGCGAGGAGAGGGCCTGGGGACTTGCTGGCCGCCACTCTGCACACAGACGCACGCCCACCTCATCAACACAATGACAGAACCTATTGTCCGTGTGCTTCTCCTGTCCTGCGGCCCCGACCTGCCTTCCTCCCCCTGCCAGACTGACACGGGTAGAAATCAGGTGTCAATCAGCTCGAGGGAAGAGGCCAATGGCCTCACCAGTCGTGGACTTCAGTGAGCATCGTCAGGCTACTGAAGATGTCATCTGTAGTTTGTCCCGTGGACACAGAATAGTCACCCATCCCATAAGATCACAGGTATGGAAGACAGAACAGAACACCTCAAAACACTGCAGCCAGAGTAAACCAATGTTGCTGTAGGTGTTTTTTCCCCAAATTTGACAAGACCACAGTCAGTGCTGAACGAGGCCAAGGTGGAAGAGGAGCCAGAATGTAACTCCCTGGGTTGACTTACACTTTTTATCTTACAACTTGCAAAATATTCTCACGCTACACTAGGTGTCATGACGCGCACCTGTCCTCCCAGCACTCAGGAGGGCGGGGCAGGAGGACTGAAGTGAGTTTGAGACCAGCCTGGGATACTTAGCTCAAGGCAGTCCGAACTGCATCGCGAGACCGTATCTCAAAAAGCCAGGAAAAAAAAGAATCTCACTTGAAACAATCCATCCAAATGACATCTCCCTCTGGGAGCTGGACAGGAAAGTTGGGGAGAAGTCGTATGCAAATCTGAGTGCCTTCCAATGGGAAGAAGAAGAAATGGACAGAGGGTACCAGGAAGGCAGGAGGATAGATATTTACACATCTGCTGTTCTCTCTGCATCTCGCTCCGTAAGTGGAAACAATTACATGAACAGTAAGCTGGGTGGAAAGATCAGTGCGTCTCTCTCAGTTCTGGCACAAGTTTCGTAAATATTTGTGTCCAACAAAGAACCGTTTAGTCAATCCTGGTACCCAGCAGGCTTATATGGCTACAGCCAGCCCAAGAATTTTAGGGGCCAGAACTTAGAAAAATGAACATCTGAAAATGGGTGTACATGCCGCATCTAGCAGCAGTTAGTTCTCCACGAGGCCACAGCCACGTGAGGCTTGACTGGGTAGCTCACTGACAACACCAAGTCAACCACACAAGATGTATCCTCCTGGGCATGCCATCCACCCTCGTATGATCTGCAAAACTAGGCACAGCCCTGGAAAAACACAGCAACAGCCACTTGAACAGGAAGCCAGCGAGAGCGCTCAGCACGCAGCTCCGCCCAGACTGACCTCAGTGGAGGGGCAGCAAGGGAAGCACCACTGCCAGGGCCAGACTAAACACACGCCAGCTAGATCCAGCCGCCTCTCAGACCAGCCACAAGCGCAGTTCAGTGTGTCCCCTGCCGGCATGAGGGCGACACGCATGGCAAAGCAATGGATGCAAAAGCTGTACTTCTCCCTTCTTCTGCGTCACTGCTGCCTGCCTGGCTCCCCGGGTGGCCCACTTCCATCCAGACCCCTATGCTCGAAACATCCCCAAGGGAGTGTCCTGTTTCACCTGTCAAATAGTGGCATTTGACTAGCCCTCCCCAATGTGGCGCACATACACTGGTGTTGGATACTGCTAAACAGCTTGTCCACACCCTCCGTTCACCTGGAGACTAAAGCCTAACTCTGCCTTTGCCTGGGCCACTAACACACACGCTCCAGCCCTGGGAGCAGCCTACTCATTTACTAAACACAGACAAGGAAAATTTCTGGGCAACTGTCATACTACTATTTGAGCATCCAAACCCTACAAGCCTGCTGGACGTGTTTGCACTTGACTTATAATTACATGGGGAGATGCCCAGAGTGGGACTACCATGGAAGAGGCCAACTTTTACGAATGAAAACTCCTGCACACACTGTCTGTCCTCTGCTCAGGACCTTCTGCCTGGAGGTGGCAGAAAACATTACTCATGTCAAAAGTTCACAACTGTGGAGGAAACCAATGCCATAAACAGGCAGGCTGGCACAAGATGCTGAGCACCAGGCCACCCACTTGACACACAGTGTGGAATTTGATCATGGATTCGGCTTCACTGAGTGACAATACTATCCGTCGGTGTAGGTGGATTCAGGAAGGGTAAGTCCTGTCTCAGGGTCATGTGGCAGGCAGGTGGAAGGACAGCAACGCATTGCTGCATCTCTCCATCTAGTGCCGAAGCTGATGTGCTCCCATGCGCCCCGGAAGCAGCTCTGCAGCCGACAGGCCGGACCCTCAGGGATGAGCACATCTGGGAGACACGCAGGCAACATCCAGTCCACGGTGACGACCGGGCCCCGCGTGCATGCACCTCTGAAGGTGCGGGACTCTTAACCAATGACCGCTCTGGCAAGATGCCTCCAGCAGGCGGCCAGCGGCCACCTGGGAGAGCAGCTGGTGGGAGGGAAGCCCTCGGAGGGAAGTGCTCCGTGCCAGTCTGCCTCCCCCCAGCCAAGCGGCAAATACTGGTTCTGCCACAGCAAATGCTTCCACCTGACAACAGGTGGCTGAAACCAGAGTGTGCTGGTTTCCCCCTTGGGTCCCACGAGTCCAAGCCCCTGGCCCAGCCCTTCCCTTCCCCACCCCTCCAGCAGGGTGCCCTCTGCAGAGCCCAGCGTGCCCTGCACTATGACAGGCGCCAGATTGAACTACTGTCCGCCTCCTACAAGTCCTAGAGACTAAAAGCAGCAAGAGCTTCCTCACACAGCCAGATACAGTCACTTTAACCTTTACTGACTAGGAAGTAGCCGCTGAACATTAAAAGAATAAGCAGGAGGCTGGCGAGATAGCTCAGCAATCTAAGCACCTGCCTGGCAAGCTCAAGGATCTAGGTTCAATCCTCGGTACCGCAAGTCATGCCAGCCCCAAAATCAGGCATGGTGGTGCACACCTGTAATCCCAGCGCTGGGGAGGCTGAGACAGGATGATCACTATAAGTCCAAACTGCATAGTAAGATCCTGCACCAAATAAATAAATTTTTGAAAAAAAGAAGAAACATACTTCCTTCTGCATTCTCTTGGCCCCAGACAGACAGCCACTCTCCCCTTTCCAAGGGGGATCGACCAGCACCAGACAACATCACCAGCTGGCCTGGGCTGGACAAACACAAGGTTTCGAGAATAAGCGAGCACACACACAGAGGCGAGCATGCTCATACAGGATACAGGTTAAGGTTATGCTCACTTCTGCAGCCGGAGGAACACAACTCACAATCACTTGATTTTATATAATAATTTCAAATCTAGAAATCCATCATCTGCCATGACTTCTGTTTAAACCTATAACTTGCTACATGTTTTTAATATTGAACAGCTCAAAAGCCAACCCTTAGAAAAGCTCCCCCCCTTTTGAGACAGGGTCTCATCATGTAGTTCAGGCTGGCCTTGAACTCACTATGCAGTCCAGGGTGGCCTCAAACTTGCAGCGATCCTCACGCCTCAGCTTCCCAAGTGCTGGCATTCCAGGCACGTAGCACCATGCCTGGCTACAAAAGCAATTCAAATGCTATCTCATTTCAATAATTATGCGATTTAGGAAATCTCTTTTTCTTCCGTCCTCTCACCTCCCAGATGCTCTAGGATGATGTTTAAAGCTTTGAGTGCTCGAGTCTTAATACAAGTCATATTGTCCTATGACTGCTACAGCATGCGACTAATTACATCAGAGTGCAAAGTGAAAACACGAGCACATAGTCTGTGTCACAAGTTATATGACAGAACACTTTGGATTAGTTCTGGCAGATGAAGAAGAAAATTTTATACAATCAGGATAAAATGCTGACAAACCATACAGAAATGGTCTGGGTCCTGCACAGCTGGGAGGCCGCCCCATGCCCCACCCCTCGCCCCCCGGCCCCGCCCGGTGGGGGGGCCGCCCCCGCCCCTCGCCCCACCCCCACACACCTGGCTGGCCCTCCTCAGTGCCTCTTCCTCCACCTGCCGCTCCTTAGAAGCCTGTTCCATTCTGCTGAACTTTTGCTTAAATTCTTCCAAATTTTTTTCTAACTGTTGCTTCACTGATGTCATCTATAAGGCAAGATGAAAACATTTCATGTTTATGTTCTTTATAAATAAACACTTATTCTTAAATCATAGCAAGCTCAAGCAATGTCAGAATGGAGACCACTTCGGCTAAGACCCAATATTTGGCTCCTCTCACTCTCTAAATTAGAACCCAGATGTGAGCCTGGGCCTCACGGGGCGACAGTACAGAAGGAGGAGGCTGGTTTGGGGCATAAGCCACTAGGAGACAAGGGACGAGTCAAGGTAAGAATGAACCTAGCAAATGCTGTCACCTTAAAGCAGCAGATCTGGGGTCCTTATGGGGCGCACACGGACAATGAACTAAACAGACACAAGCTTCTGAGACTGAAAGAAAGATTGATTCTAGTGACAGTGTCAAAAAATAACACCCACGCTGGATACCAGCTGTGGAGAAAAATGAAGCAAGCTAAAGCAAACAGGAAGTGCTTACTTGAGGTTAGGGACACATGCAGGAACAGGGACCTCCAGACCCTCGAGGTGGCAAAGCACTGAGTCCTTGGTTCTGTCATACAAAGCGCCCAAGTTGGCATGAGCTTGGTGGAACCAGGAAAAAGCAAAGAGGACACGCATGAGACAGAGCAGGGACAGTAGCGAGGAGGGCCGGATGCAACCTGAGACAGACTGGAAGCGACTGCACGAGAGACATGTGATTCACAGGACAAAAAGGCAGGAGGCTGGCACAGTACCCGCGGCGAGAGGGCTCGGCCTGCAGGCTCCAGTGTACACTGACTTCAAAGGCCTGCAGACGCCACCAAGTACAAAAGCAGACACAGAAGTTGGGCTGGTGCTTAGCAGGGAGATGGGAACACACGGAGGGATTGTGGGGTCACGGAGGAGACGTGGCCCCTGCCATAGGTGACACTTCCAGAGAACGTGCCTTATGCTTGTGCTTTATTGAGCTGTACATTTGCGCTACACAAATTCTACGTTTTAACACAGAAAGGTTTAAACAGACTCTGTGCACAGAAAGGTTTAAACAGACTCTGTGCTTGACATGAGGATATATATGCTTCTCCGCACACAAACGGGTGATGATCAAAGACAGGCAGAGTGGCCAGCGTCAGTGGCCTGCTCAGAAGGACGGGAGAAAGAGGAACTAAAGACGGAACTGGACCAGTGCGAAGGACAGAACTGCTATCTAAGGGATGAAGGAGACCGGGGAGGCACGGCTTTGAGAAGCTGCAGGAATTCTGAGATGACCACGTGACGAGGAAGACAGTGGGGGCCTGGCCTGCAGCTCAGGACAGACCCCCGGGCAGGACGCAAACGGTACGTGGGCATCACAGAGATGACACAGAAAGCCCTAACTCCAGGTGGCAAGACTGCTTTTGGATTGAGCTTAACTAGGTAAGAGAGAAGGCCAGGAGAGACCCTGCAGGGGTGGCGTCCACAGGCACCTACTCGGTCCAGCTCGGCCTCCGGGCCCCGAAGCGCATTTCTGGCCTGCTGCAGCTCCTGGGTAAGCCTGGCTTTCGCCTGTGCACTCTCCTGCTCCAGCATCTGGAAGGCCCTCTGCTGCCGGGAGAGCTCCTGGAACAGAGGCCGATGGATGTCACCCAGGGTGGAGACAGGGACCGACACCAGTACCCAGCAGGCAGTGCCACATCCAACGGACACAAGACTGGGCACCAGGCTGCAACCAGCCGAGCTGGGCTCTAGTCAGAGGTCTCTGGCATCCCGGTCTACCCAGGGGCGACAGGGCCCATTGCTGCCTCGTTCCTAGGTTCATCTCAGCCCCTTCATGGTCCAGGGTCACAGCCGGATGCCAAAGTCCCTCCCAGCCAGGGCACTCAGAATGGGGTATAAACGAGCAGGCTCTACCTGCCTCTCCTGAGACAGTGGGAAGTAAACGTCACCACCCAACTTGGTTCACCACGTAGGGACTCCCCATTCACCCGGCCTCCCTAGTGGGGACTAGACTTTGATGGGACACACAGGCTTAGGACTATGCATCCTGCTGCCGCCGCCCTGACACTGCCCCCACTTCCCCAGGGACAGCCAGCTTGAATACCAATCCCTCCATCAGGTTAAAAGCTGAAGGCAGCTCCCCTCCCACAGCAGCAGGCAGGCTTTCCCATCTCACAGTGCAGGGCCTGGGGACCCGCCCCTCACGCCCCGTTCAGCACCTCCTGAAGCTCTTTCTCCTTCTCCTTGACCCTCTGCTCCAGGGAACATCTGGCGCTCTCCGCGTTTTGCCGCTGGCAAATCAAATCCTCTGTCAGCTTCTTCAGCTTCTGTTCCAGCACTGAACACTAACAGCAGAGAAAAATGCAACACACTAGGCAAAAAATTATTCCAGGGAAGAGGCACATGGTCTGTTTTAGAAAAATCTTAGTTCAGGATCTGCCGTACAGTCACCAGTGCCCCCATCTTTTTGTTCCAGAAAACACTGCGTTTGAAACTGCCTGCCAGACAAAAAAAACCCACGCTATTTATTTCAGAACAAATAAAATTCACCTTTGGTGAAACATTCACAAGGATATGCAGCCTTAGCTCATTAGATTAAGTCCTTCGCAGTCTGCGGTGGAGACCGAGGCAGAAGACGTCTGCCCTTCCCATCGCTGCTACACAGAGGTCAGAAAACCTAGTAACCTAGGGCTCGATATAATCAGAGGGTGCCTGGTCCTCGCCCACAGTTCTTCCACACACAATGGGCTCAGAGGAAATTTCCGGTGATGTACTGCTTCCTTTCCATGGACTCCCTCTGTACTTTCTATTTCCAGAGGTGCCAACTCCCCATGACACCAGAGGTGACAAAAAGAATGAGCCTCTGCCTTCTTACACAGCCAGTTACCCATTTCTAAGAATGTGGAGTACTTGGAAACATAGGAAGCTCTTTGAAAATTAGATTGGAACAAATTGGCCTTAATTCTTCAAGTGGCAAAACCCACTCTTCTGTGCTCGCTACCCCGTGGGCCCAAATCCTTACACTGCCCTCACAGGCAGCCCCGCAAACCCCTTCATGCTGGTGAGTCACAGGCAACAGGCCCAGACTCGGCGGATCCCACCTCTCTTCACAGCCTGACTTAAAATGACTAGGAATACTAGAAATTGAACTGAACATTCAGGGGCCAGGGAGATGGCTCAGTAGAATAAGCGCTTCCCTGGCAAGCGCAAGGGCCTGAGTTCGATCCCTGGTTCCAGGGGGGGAAAAAAAAATGAACTGAGCATTCAGAGTGGAAAATAATACAAAACACTACAGGATACTTTACTGGAAAAAAAAAAAAAAATCAGACACTATCAATTAACCAAAGACAGAAAGCATCAAGGTGGTCAATAGTGACTGAATGGTTCTTGAATGGCACCTATTAAAAACACTTCTGTTATTATCCTTGTTGTCCTGGAGATTTTAAATGTCCAAGAAAAAGTACTGTAGAGACTATAAGAGTAAGAAAACATGAATTCAACAGGTATCTGCTAAGTGACTATTCTGTGCTGTGTACTGTTCTAGGTTCTGAGGATACACAGCAGTAAAGAACATATCAAAAGTCATGGCCAAAATAATGGTCCAAAATCAGGACGACTGAGAAATCTCAGGGAAAAAAAATACAAATTTTTAAAAAGCTCCTGCAGCTGAGTAGATGAGTGGGGCCTTGGCGCCCCCTACAGGCACTCCCTAAAACTGCAGCGCACTACACTCACCCATCTTGAGATCAGCAGTCCTGGCCCTTTCTAAGCACACACAAAATTTTTTTTTATTTTTATTTTAATGACATCTGGGGGCCTGCCCCTTAGCTCAGTTCTTTAAGTGGCTGCTTCAACAAAGCAGTCAGGTTCAGGCTGCTGTGGTTCGATCCCCACAACTCAAGCCAGCCAAACCTGCCCTGAAGGCATTCAGAGAAAAAAAAAATCCTAATTTTAATGACATTCTGGCAGCCATGATGCACGACCCACATAAAAGGAACCAACGGCTAAGTGCCCGAGCACGCGCCACAGTCTACAGCAAGTGCCAGAGCCCAAGTCTGTCTGTGAGGTGCGCTCCTGGACGCCCATCTAACTTGCCAGGTCTGAGTTTCCACCTGTGAAATGCGCGACTTCCGGGCCTGCAGCCAGCCCAACACTCTTCCTACACGGACTCAAGCCTCCCCTGAGGAGTGGTACCCACCTGGGAGAGGCCTGTACTACCGCGGCCTGCGCCCACCCCAAGCCCGCATCCCTCCAGCTCCTCGCTCTAACACAGAGGGCTGGTGGCGCTGGCCTGGACGGCACCAGCACAGCGTGGCTTAACTTCAGCAAAGCCCTGGACAACCTCATACCACGGACGAGAACGCGATGGGGAAAGGTGAAGTGAGTTTCCAGGTAAGCAGATTTGCAGCTGATAAGACAAAACCTAGAAAGGAAAAGAAATCCTTTCTGGACTGAACCAATGAGCCTGGAGCAACCACTAACAGGAAGCCAGGGCTGTGCGGTCAGTCCTGTCCTAGGCACAGTTCTGAATTCACAAGCAGGTTAGAAAAAAACATCAAGTATGTTAGCCGGAACAAAGACTTGGTGATCTGATCGCACCAAGACCGTAAGATGAGACATGAAAGGGTAACTGTCACTCACACCCAGGAAGGGCTGGCTGGCCAGAAATGCATTCAACTGAGAGTCAGCTGATATGCAGGCATCTGTGTTGGATCCTTGGGTGGACCAATGAAACTCGAGCACATGTCCTAACCCTCTGCAAACTCTGTTGCAAGTACTATGTGACCATACTGGAGCAGTGTCAGGTGCTGCAACTGACCACCCGCATTCTCTACCACCTCTGGGGATGTAAAAGCCACCTGTTGCTGCCAGGGGTGCAGCTGGGAGGGACCTCACCGCCCTTAGCCCTCAGGCAGCTTCCCGTTTCTGCGGCATCAATGCCACCTACTACACCCTGACAAAGATCATCATTCACATTTATTTTATAAGCTTCAGAACAAAATACTCAAAGAAGGCTGGGGGAGGG